CAAAAAAAAAAAAAAAAAAAAAAAAAAAAAAAAGGTTAAAAGGCTTAAAGGCTAGGTTTGTAGGTTGGGTTGGGTATCATCATACGCACCTCCACCGTCAAAGACTCCTCCAGCTTTTTGCATGTAGAGAAGATGGATTCAGATGTGGCAAATTCGAAATACCATAGCTTGTTTTTCATTCTGTAACAGCCCCAACAGGGAAGAGACAGATTACACAGTACTGGCAGTGACAGGGAAGAGTACCAACCTCCCCTAAGGGGAACAAAAGTAGCTTTGGTTGGGGGGTTTCCTAGAGGTGTCACTGCCCATCTAAACATTGTGTCAAACTTGTCACAAACCTCGTCTCGACACTACATCCAATCCCTCACCCCCTTTTTACATTTTATTTTGTATGTGTGTGAGTGTGCACATATGTGCGTTCATCACAAGATGCATGTGGAGGTCAGAGGACAATATGTGGTTCTCTCCTCTGCCATGTGGGTCCCAAGGATGGAACTCAGGTCATCACAGTGGTAGGTGCCTTTACCTGCTGAGCCATCTCCCCCTTGCTCTTTTTCCCTACCTGCTGTTGAACTTCTCAGGATATTTCTCTCTCATGATGTGGAATCGGTGAGCAATAGAAGCATCCTGTAGAGTCATGTGTGTATAATATTAGAAACCGAACTTCTCTATCTGTACAGAGCTCTCTTTCTGTACAGAGTTCTCTCTTTCCTCTTCCTCTCCCTCCCTTTGTTCTCCTCTCCATTGGTACATCATGCCTCTGGTTCTCTTTTTGCAACTCACACCAAATCTTGTGTCCCTTCCTTTCTAACTGCCTCAAGCTTCTGCTTGCTTAACGGGTTCCCGCCCCACCTGGCTCCACCCCCACCCCAACCTCTACACCACTGACCACACCAATGGAGAAGTAGTTATTGATGATTTGAGAAGGAACTGGATCACTCTTCTCTGTAGTTTGTTGGGGTATCACTTCCAGGAACCATCGATCTAGATGCACCACAGTACTCATCTCTAAATCCTTAAGGATCTTCCCCAAATTCTCACCCTCGTACCCTAGAAGTAGAGGAGAAGATGGGTTAGCCTGAGTCGCAAAGAGCCCTCTGAGCCCATCTCCACAGATCCCCAAGGGCCCTCTACCCTCTGTAGGCGCTTTCAGCCCTTGCCAGGGAAAGGACAAGATGCCCAGGCTCCCATGGACCAGTGCTAAGGTCAGCCTTCTGCTGTCCCTTCCACACTGTTGTAGAAGATGAGTATTTCCAACAAGTCTAAAAATTATTCCAAATACTGGAATATTGGAAAGAGAAGTCAGAAAAATGCCAAAAAATGAATGAAAGCCAGTCATGGTGGCTTATGCCTATAGAGACTGAGGCAGGAAGACTGC